ATAGCCTTAACAAGATTATAATTTCTAGCAACTTAATAAAATAGTTATGAGATACTACAAAATAACTATTACATAAAATGTTATAATATTATTAGGGCAAACTTCTATAAAACGTAAGATGAAAGAAATATTATTATTTCTCCTAAATAAAGAAATATTATCTTTTCACAAAAAAGGCAATAAGAATTATACTTAAAAAATAATAATTGTGATGACGATAGTAATAATAATAACAATATAAAAAGAATAGTAGTAATAATAATAGTCATAATAATAATAATAACAACAACAACAACAATAGTAAATGGAAAATAGTACTGGAAAATAAAGTATTTGATGTATTAATAATTTAGAAGCTCAAGAAAATTAATTGGAGGAAAGTAGGGACAAAATTGGATGTCTAACATGAATAATATACTTCTTGATGGTACCTATTTTAGTGTGTCGATGAGTTTGTTACCAATCTTATGAGTTGTTTATGCTATTTTCCTAGTGCAAAATAGTTTGGATTGCATGGTGTTCACTTTTGTATTTAAGTTTTGCACTTGTTAAGTTATATTGAGTTCATGTAGCTCAGAGAGAGGGTGTCTGGCTCATCGCTTGTCACTGCCACAATTTTGGATGATCTTAATAAATGTTTGTTAATTTTGACTTCACTTTTCATGTTATTAAAGACTACTGTCATGAGGAGTTCTTAAATACTTTAACATGCGAAATGGCCTTACACCATATTATCATCTATGAAGTTCAATATACCACATATATGCGCACGTATATATATAATTTGCATTTAATAGTCTAGCTTAAAATAATCATCCTTTTGTGTAGATGTTGGTTTTGAAAAAGGTGCACCTATGATGATACGTGTAAACTTGAATCCTTCAAATAACTTATGTAATGATTACTAACATGATATTTAAACGTTTTAATAAAATCATACGTGCAAAACTCATAATGAGTCAATTGCTCCCAAGTTTGCGTTTGTTTCCGAAGTTTAACTTTCGCCTATCGAAAATGAATGAAATCGTTTTTAATTTGTCAAAAAATAATTTATACAGAGTAATTATTTATGTTTTGCACTAACAATAAATAAACTATATGGGCAAACCATCTCTAACGCGGGACTATATTTTGATTTTTTTCATATGGACAACTATATGTTACAACAAAAATATCGTATATAAAGAAGTATTAAATGAGATATAATAACATAACATATTTATAATAAAAAGATTATAAATTTTAAAAATACTAGATTATAAATTAGAAAAACTATCTATCTGATTTAGTTATATTAAATAATTTTAGATGATTAGACAACATTCAATATTTTTGAGTTCAAGTATTACATTAGTGTAATAATAATAATTTTGAGCATTTAAAAGAATGCTACAATGCTTCATTCTTATGTTTATACATTTTTTAATAAATATGCATATAGACATTAGTAATATCAAGTATTCAGATACAAGGAGGACCAATTTAGCAATTGGGTAAAATTTAAGGGTGTTAAACGGGCCGGGTTGACCTGGTTCCGGACCGGCCCAGACCGGTTAAAACCGGAACCCGCCCGGACCGGTTAGAGGGGGCTGGGCCGGGCTGGATAAGGGGGTTAGGGGGTTGGTCCGTTTAAGTTTTTGAAAACGGGTAACCGGCCCGGTTGAACCCGGAAGAGTGAACAGTAACTCTTACTGGGTTAACCGGCCCGGACCGGCCCGGTTCAAATGGCTAGTTTTTTTGTTTTTTTTTTTTTTTTTTTTTAGTTTTCGAAATTTTTGCGCCCCGCTGACCGTTGGCAACGGTCAACCCTTGATTTGGTCCGTTGGCCAACGGAAATATTGCATAAATAGCCTTTTTTTTTTTAATTTTTAACCCTTTTTCAATTTACAAAACTAACCTTCTCTAAAACTATAAATACCTCCCCCCCCCCCCCTTCTTCATTTCTTCACTCAATACTCATTTCTCAATCTCAATTTCTCTCATTCTCTCATTCTCTAATTTGCAAGACTTCAAGTCTTCAATTCATCATTTCATCTTCTAATTTTATTTGGCTCTCTTTTCTTGAATTTAATTTATCGTGTTTTATCATTCGGAATTTGAAGTTTGAACAATTGAAGTTCAAAATTAAAATACTTGCTTGACGTTTGTTCGTGGTAACATCGGAATTGCGTAATCAAGTGCTCAATTTATTGTCGAATTCGGTGCACTCCCTCCAACTCTTTCTCTTATTTACTATTTTAATTGCATATTTAATTTTAGCTTATACTTTAATTTTTACAATATGTTGAATGCTGTTAAAAGAGCGTGTAGAAAAGTTACTGGTAGGGAAAATAAAAAAAGAGGTAGTGCTTCGGCATCTGGTAGTAATAGTAATACCCCATTTACACATGTTTCCGAAACATCGCCTAATGATAATATAGATTATGAACAATTACAAGAAGATTTTGGAATAAAAGATAATGAATTAGGAATGGAAGATGAGATACCTGCTACACCTACTAGTGCTGGAGCTGGTAGTGTTGGAGTTGCTACAAGGGGTGGTGGTCGTGGCACTAGTAATAGACCACCTGTGGCTCCGACTACTAATCGTAGAAAAAGAAGTAAGGTTTGGAATTTTTTTGAAATAATTCAAGGTACTGACAGAGTTAGATGCAAACTTTGTAAAGATGATTTTAAACATTTGACTGGAGGAAATTTAGGGGGGACTGGGACGCTTAGTAGACATATGAGAATTGCACATCCCATAGAATGGGGCTCTGATGGTGATGAAAATCAAACAACTATTAACCCTACTACTGGAGGACTTTTGAAATATGATAAAATGAAGGATCGTGAGGAGTTAGCAAAAATGATTGCTTTAGGCTGTCTACCTTTTTCTTTTGCTTCTTCATCATATCTTATTATGTATATTCAAAGGATTTACAATCCTTTATTTAAAGGTATCCCTAGAAGTACTTGTAGAGCTGATATCTTTAGACTTCATGGACAATATCAAACATACATACGTTATTTGTTTAGCCACCTTCCTTGTAGAGTTTCTCTAACTTCTGATATTGGCCATGCTGTTAATGGAAATGATTATTTGACAATTACTTGTCATTGGATAGATGATACTACTTGTATGCAAAAAACGTATTATCGCGTTTAGATATGATGAAGATCAGAGTCATACTGCTGCGTTTATAAGTAGTACTATTTGTGAAGTTGTTGAATTTTATAATCTCAAGCAAAAAGTATTGTGTATGTCATTTGATAATGCTTCTAACAATAATGCCGCAATTTCAATATTAAAACTGCATTTGTAACCACCTCTTGATGAAATTTTTCATGTTAGGTGTGCATGTCATGTTTATAATTTAATTGTTAAAAGTGGCCTTATTTTATTTTCAACTGAGATTGCTCATGTTAGAAGAGCATTTGGTGTTATTCAAGGAAATAATAGACAATCTAGAATAAAGGAATTTAAGAATAAGTGTGTCTAGTATAACCTTAAACCCAGATTCATGCCAGACGAAATTGTTACTAAATGGAATTATACATATATATTTTTAAAATGTTGCTACAAATATAGATTCCCAATAACTGAAGTTGCTAATGCGCATTATACTGATCCAAACCGTATGTTAACAACTAGTACTTGGGAGGTCATTAATGATGTTGTTAAATTTTTACATAAATTTTATATAGCTACTGTTGAGTTTTCTGGAGCATATTACCCTACTGTTACTATGACTTTAGTACATATAGCTGAAATTTCTTTTCTACTCTTTGAATTTAAGAAGAAAGAACAATATAAAGATGTTGTGGAAAAAATACAAGCAAAATTCAAAAAATATTTCTTTCCAATTCCTCTGATTTACTTAATTGGTGCTGTTTTAAATCGTTCTATTAAGATGTCTGATTGTCACCATTTAATGAATGCTTTATATACTTATATGGAGATTGGACCAACTGAAACCCCAGATTTATATGTTTTAATGAACAAGCTAAATGATTATTTACAACAATTATATAATTATTATGCAAATGTAATTGATGATGCTGCTCGTACTGTAGGCAATGTTAATCCCACTACGCACTGTAGCACTTCTGCTACTGTGGATGATGAAGAAGGCCTTGATAGTTTAATTTTTTCTACATTTTCTAACACTCAAACCAGTAGCAGGAACATTGATGAACTTCAATTCTATTTGCAGAAGCAAAAAGAGCCTCACACAAAGGAATTTTCACCGTTGGGATGGTGGCATGAGAATGGAAATCATTTCCTGTTCTTTTCGCTATGGCTCGGGACGTGCTGAATGTGCCAATTTCTACTGTTGCATCGGAGAGTGCATTTAGCCAAGCAAGACAACAACTTGGAGACACCTGTCACTCACTGGGAAGCAATGCTTTGGAAGTTTTAGTATGTTTCAGAGATTGGATTAGATCAGAACGAAGAAATCAAGGACGTGAAGATGTTGATAGCCCAGAAGACGAGGAACTTAGAGATATATTAACACACGGTAACCCATCCGAATTTAACACTCCAGAAGAAGGTCACTCAGTTCATATTGATTATGAAGAACTTACTAAGGCAATGCAAAACCTTTGAATTTACTCTTTTTTGGTTAATTTACTTGTTGTTAAATGTAAACCTTTCAATTTGTAAGTTTGAATTTTAAAATAAATGTAGCACTTGCAATTTATAAGTGCAATTTTTTCCCATCTTCCTTGTATTCTTTATGTTAATACTTTGTATTAATATAACTTACAATAGTTATACAAAATACAAAAAAAAATTAAAAAATACACTAAACCCGGCCCGGCCTGGCCCCCTCAACCCGTAACCCTTACGGTTCAATTTTTACCCGGATGAACCCGAACCCGTTAAGCCCCAACCCGTAACCGGCCTGGACCGCAACCCGTACGGGTCCAAAAGATCCCAACCCAGCCCGGCCCGACCCACCCGTTTAACACCCTTAGTAAAATTACATTAGGCGCGACTCATTTACCTTACTCCGGATTCAAGCCGGGTCAAAATTTGCCCGGTCCTAAATTGAAGTAGAGTCTGGAATCCCCTAATTTCTCCTCTCCGTCGGCCCCGATTCTTCACGAGGTATTAACCCTTATATTCACCTGTATGTACTAGTATTTGTTTCCAGTTCATAAATACAAGTTTATTTTGAAGTAAAATTCGAACAATTTGTGTTAACTTGCAGCATCTGACTTCAATGTTTAAGAACACGTTCCAATCTGGTTTTCTTTCCATCCTGTACAGCCTCGGGTATGTAATCCTTGTCTCTTTTTTTTTTTTTTTTGATTGGTGTAATTCTTGTCTTGTTTATTTCCCAATTTCTTTTGTACTTTTAATTTTTTCACTTGAATTAAACATTAGCTCCTCTTTTTTATTTTTTTTTCCAGGAGCAAGCCTCTGCAGATTTGGGATAAAGAAGGTAATATAAACTAATACTATTTGAATTTCATTTATTTTCCAAGAACACCAGTAATTAGGATTTATGGATGAATATATGTGTTTTTCTGTTGACTTGTAGCAAGTGTTATTGGGTCTTTCAACAGAGATTTATTACTGTTTACCTTTTTCCTTTTTATTCGAGCAATTGATGTGTCCCTAAATCATAAGTATTAGCATTGTAGGGATTTTGTGATTTGTTTCTCACTGTAGGAATTTTTTTTATACTTGAATTCATTCCATCGTGGTTTCCTCCTTTCTTTGTGCTTCTTAGTTTTCTGTTTCCTGGTCATGCTCCTCTTTACCTTCGTTTTTTGTGTCTGCATTCTGGGGTTTTTTACCTAACAGAACACAGTGTTTTCTAGTTACACCAAAGGTGCAATTGAAATAAAAAAGATCTCTTTATGCATTCAACGTCACTGTCTTGGAACATTCTCCTATTCCGTTCGTTTGATATGCTCAAAAGAGACATCAGAGGGCCGTCTTCCATGCTGCCATCCTTTCATTAGCAATCCTCTATAATCTCCAACACGTGATTGCTTCCTCCATTGTTCTCGGTAGCATCACGAGATATTGAACAATGAGAATACAAAGTCTCGCTCTAGTTTCTTTGCACATGCACGACGCACCACCAACTCACTGATATCCTCAGTCTCTTTCTTAACTTGTCCGTAGTTGAAATGGAGTCCTGCATTGCGAAAGAAAGAGGGCTACTTTCTTCAGAGACCTGTTGTTCCAATTCTTTCACACCTCCGTCCTATCTCTTCTTTCCTAACAAGGAAAATAGAAAGATATAACTGTATGCAGTATGCTTAACTCGTCCTTTTCCTGCGTGCAGTTGTCAATGGGCATGTCAAACGGCTGCAAGATGAAGATATCCAATCCAATGTCTTGGAAATTGTTGGGTCTAATGTCCAGCAAGCATACATAACGTGTCCTGCAGATCCTAGTGCGACTCTTGGCATAAAGCTACCCTTCTTAGTCATGATAGTGAAGAATGTGAAGAAGTACTTCACATTTGAAATTCAGGTTTTAGATGATAAAAATGTCCGGAGAAGGTTTCGAGCTTCTAATTATCAAGTCTGTAAGTCTTTCCAGGAATATAGATTTGTTCCTGTGACTTATTTCTGTCATAATTTGTTATCTTTTTGTATATGTAGTCTTCCCCATATATGTCTCTGGTTTCACTTTAACTATATTCAGGAGAGAGCCGCTGAGTGCTGTCTATTTATGATATTTGATAATCTTAGCTCTTGAAAGAAGAAGTAGTTGAGTGGAATAATAATTTTTGTTTAATCGACACTTATTTGTTAGATGGAAACTACTACATGAACAGTGTCTTCCTTTTCGGTAAGAGCATATGTTTGATGGCGTTTTTTTGCCTTAGAACAGTAGTATAGTCATACATCAGACCTTTCTTATTGTTGTTATATGGTTTAGGGATTTTCCTAATAAACTGTGAATACACTCATTAACTTTAACAAATGCAACGCGGAGGAAGTTAGCAACCTATGAAGTCCCCAAAACGACAGGAGAAAATCCCTGTTTCCTTGTTAAAATGTCAGAAATAGCAGTTTGGTCGCTTGATGGGGTTCTTTTTATGAAGTCTGTGTGGCAAATGATGTTAAGAAGTTTGAGTAGAAGCTTGTCAGCTCACAATAACATCATCTTTATGATTGGCGCTTAGATTTGATTTTGACCGCCTTGGTGATAAAGAGAGTATCTGGGGATCTGATTCTTGAAATATTGGACTTCAGTATTTCTTAAATTACGTTCTTCTTGGACACGATATCTTTATAATAAACTTTCCTGTGGAGGGGTATCCAGTTACTAGTGATGGCGCTTTGGCATTATTTTGTACCAAGAACAGTGGATGGTATCAGGTTGTGGGGATATTTTTCTTCATGGAAGTAGTCAATCCTGCTTGATAGAAGTGGGATTGTATTTGGCTGAGAGAATTTCATAATTGGTCTGAAATAATGAGAACGTGATCATCCTGTATCTTGCTTTGGTTAAAATGCTATTTCATGCCTATGTTACGCGGGTTCTTAATTTTGCCCTGAGGCGTTGACAATTAACATACCTATCTCAAATGATGTTCATAGTTAAAGGTACTTCATTTGGACCATTCAAAATTCCCTAAATAAACTGTTATATTGGGCTAGCTGGGTCCTTTATGTACCAATAGGTAGTACATGTGCCTTAGTCCATGTAAGGTAGTTTTTATGCCAAGAACTGCACAAACTACAACTGTTTCGGGCATGTCCCAAACACCTGTAATTCAAAAATTTTGAGGAGTAGTCAAGGATTTTGATAGCTCTATGCAGACTAAAAACATTAGAAACTGATGAAGGATGCAATTGTTTTGGCCTACCAAAGTTTTCTATAGAGTATCATTACTCAGCTAACAAAGTATTATGTGACTTAAGCATATCTGATCAAAATAACTACTCTAGTATCTGATCAAAATAAGATATGACATATGTAGTGGTGGCGAAATGGATAAAAGAAAATAGTTATCCACCCATATTATCCATTAAAAAATGGGTTGGATGCTGAACTTTTTAAAAACGGGTCAAATATGGATAAGAACCATATTATCCACTTAGATAATGGATAACCAATGGATAACTAATGGGCTTAACTTTTACATTTGTAAAGCCTCAAATTGGGGGTTCCTCAAGTTTGAGAGATTAGGAATTCTCCCAAAAGTGATCATATTCAAGAAGCCATGGATAATATGGATATCCCTATTATCCGCCGGTTAACTCATTCGTAATAAATATGGGTCGGGTCGGATAATTTATCCGTTTTTCATTACCCGTTTCGACCCGTCCCACATCCGACCCGACCGTTTGCAACCCCTAGACATATGCATGCCGTTAAATGATCAAGTATGACGCAATACAGGAAAGGTTTCCCTCCTCCTGCCTGTATTAGTGTTTAGTTGACCTTCTAAGTTTTCTGTCTTAATGTGATTTCCTTGATGAGTTATGAAGTCTGCTGCGCGCTTTGCTGCTTTCTAAGGTTTGCAGTTTTGCACTTGCCTAGTAGTCCTTGCAAACGATTGTTCTTTTAGGTGAAAATCAAATTATGGACTAACTTGCTTAGTGTCTTATAGATAGCTTGTATCGCCTGCATTTGCCTAGTGTTGTCTGTTGAATGAAGACCCATCTTATAGACTAATTTGTCTTTCAGTTATTATAGTATAACTAATTTCGTAGTCAAATAATCCCTTCTTTGAACTTTCCCTTTGGAGTACAGAGGTGACACGTGAACTAATTACCAAACCACTTTCTTCTGATCCAGTTTTAGATGGTGTGATGTATAATGCAAATGTCTAATATAAATTCTCTAGCTGTTGCTACATTCCTGTTTTGCTTGGACGCACACCTCTTTTCTGTAACTGTTTTATGGACCATTTTACTTATTTCACGTTACTATTTTGGCAGCATACAAATTGGTGTTTGCAAAAGCTGAATTAGTGAGGACTGGATAATTAGTGCGCCAAAAACGAAAAAAGCTACTAAAGTTTTTTGTCATTCTTTGACCTTGAGATATTGCAGTACTTTGAGTAACTTTAAGGTTTCTTCACTGCGGAATAGACTTGGGTAATACCCAAGCTGTTATATCATGTGCCATTGAAGCATAGCCTACACTGGTTGGATGGTCCTGTCTGACACCTTTACTTTTAGGATCTAATTTTGTTTGTATTGGTGCCCTACTTTTTGACAATGTTAATGCTTGACTATTAAATTTCTTTAATGCTGGAGTTTGAAAAGTTTCACCTGTATGTTGCAGGCGGTCACACGAGTGAAACCCTATATTTGCACTATGCCGTTGAGATTGGATGAAGGATGGAATCAAATCCAGTTGAATCTTTCTGATTTGACCAGACGAGCTTATGGAACCAACTATGTCGAAACACTGCGAGTTCAGGTTCATGCAAATTGCAGGCTAAGGAGGATTTACTTTTCTGACCGTCTTTATTCAGAAGAGGAACTCCCACCAGAATTCAAACTTTACCTTCCAATGCAGGTGAAAGATACTCAGGACTTGCTTTGATTGTACTGTTGGAACGCCATTATGACTTTTTTCGTCCTTTTTAGCCTAATGTTTGTTGTTTTCTTATTGTAGAAATCTTGAGGATTTTCTCTATAAACCAGCAGATGAGGCACTTTAGTTGTCTGAAATTCGTCTTGGAGCTGGTGTATTAATCTTGGTGTGGAACAGTTTGATCTTGGAAATGTTGATGAGTGCACATGTTCACCAAGTTTCTTTTTATTACTTGAATCTATTAGAATTTTAGAGTTTGTTAGTGAATTGTTAAACATGATGTTGTGGTTCAAGATTAGAAAGACCGGTGGATGTCTTTCTAGCTGCTTTGCCTGGTTGCAGATCATTAGATGAATTATGTCTTGATTTTGTAAAAGCTTCATTGTTGTACTTTCTATGCTCCGGATTTATTTAGTGTTGATTTCGGAAAAACGTTTCATTTGAAGCAGAAAATACACACGCTAATAATCCAAAGGGAAAAGGCAAGTATGAGATTCATCTTGTCTAGGAAAAAAACGTAGTACTCCTAAAACAGTTTCCAGGCATTTCTTTGGGCTTGCAGGAGTGAATGCTTTTCACACTAAATTTTTAGGACTTGTCGGGTGTTAATATTTGTGCAAAGCTTATACTCCATTCATGATATAAGATATATAGGCATACTTATGCAAAAATATTTAATTGGACGTGAAGTTTAAGATATTAATTTAATTTATATAATATATCAGTGATCGTAAAAGAATAAACATTAAAGTGGTGGTTGAAAATAGCACAAATAACACTAGAAAATTAAAAGTCTCTTGGTATGCGCGTTGTGCGTATACCCAGTCTCTATGAATATAAGATTATAAAAGATCATATAGTTATTATATTAAAAATTATGTTTGAGTTAAGTATTACTTAAAAGTTAAACAATAAAGTATAAGTTCTTAAAATTAAGATTGTTCCTTACATTTAGCTAACTCAATAAAGGAAGAAATATGTAAATGTTCCTAATCATCTCTATCGATTTACTCAACTAAAAGTTTAACCTAATTATATAAATCACTATTGCAAAAATAGAATAAAGTTCATTCAGATTAATTTACTCTTTTTTCATTTTGGAATGAGCTTTCCTTCCGTCCAAGCTTGAAAGCACGCGTCCAGATTTTACGTTCCAATGTGTATTCGGAAGTTGCCTTCTTATGTAAGCAAGAGTGTATGACTGAAATTGAATTGCTTATTGTTGATGACTTCGAAAGGATATGTATGTTAATATTATTTTAGAAGGAGTCAAAATATGAAATACATGTTAAAATCAGATTAATTTTATTCTTTCATCAATTTTCGATTGATGTTTAGTTTCTATATATGTCTATAGTCAGTTCTCTTTTTTATTAAAAGTAAGTATGGTTTGATTAAAAATATTTTAATGATTTATAATCTCTAATATAATAAAAACAAAATAATTTGTTTAAATAAGAAACTGAGTATTTTAGTTTTTCATATGTATTGTGAATTTATATATTTGGATTTAAAAATTTAAAAATGTTGAGAAGAAATTTTTATTATGTCACCAGGGTGACTTAGATAAAATAATTACGTTGCATCTAAATAATAACTATAACGGTTTAATAAAACACATGTATTTTTAAATTGCTAATTATACAATTAAAGTTATATTTCAGAAATTTGGAAAAACAATATGTATAAATTCCTTACTTAACTTTTATGTTACAATTATCAAAATATTTTAAAATATATTGTTTAAGAAGTTTGCTACTAATTAGCACATTGCGATTATATACAAGATGAATATTGATTATTACATAACTCTGAGTTGTAATTGAAAATTCTTTGTGATTGTGTGTTGTTGCCTAGTTGTTTTTGGAGTTGTAGGAGTTTTACTTTATTGAGACTGAGGGAGTGTCCAACTCTCATTCAATTTTATTTTTATTTTTTGTACATAATGATTACTTGGTAATAAAATATCTATAATTACAAAAAAAATTAAATAAATATACACAACAAATCGTCCGAGAATAATTAAATTTTTTTTCAAATAATTTTCAACTTTATTGGATAAATACTATTCAATTCATTCCTATAAAATTACATTCGCCTATTAAAAAGTTATATTGTTGACACGTACAAAATCTTTTAGAAAATTTTAAATACATCTCTGTTATGTATGATTTTTTTTTGGAAGGTTAAATTTCTAGGACAAAAAATCCTTATTTTTGTTTGCTCATAAATACTTTTTGGCTTTGTAGATATTTTTATGCGGAAGAATATAAAAGAAGAAGAATTAATATGCACATAGTTGTAGACATAAATTGAGAAAGGACATTAAAAATAGAAAAACATACCGATAGTGGTTTGAAATTGTCGCTTCTTAGTTTTTGTCTAAAATTTGTTTAGTACACCTTATATTGAATAGTAAAATCTAATCAATTTTGAAGGCCTAAATATTAGAGCCTAATTATTATATAGTTTAAATAAGAAAAAATTTAACAGCTAAAATTTTAGTTGATTTTAAAATCATAAATATTAACAAAAATATTAAATGACTATTTTTTCTAGTGAGAATTAGGAAAAATCTTATTAACTACAAAAAAATCTCCTAAACTTAAAATGATAAAAGGGAAATTTAAATAATCCAAAATATAAATGGAGTCGAACGACAAACTTTTCTAATATAGGCAAATTTTTATTAACTACAAAAAGAAGTCTCCTAAACCTAAGAAGGAGAATGGAGAAATTTAGTACTCCAAATGGAATTAGAAAGTCACTACTGGGATTCGTTCTTACCTACACCTCTCCTAAATATTTACTCCTACAACTCTAATGAATCAACAACACTGCCAAGGTGGAATACCTCCAAAGCCACCAGACAAAAATTCCCCTCATTTAAACAATTTTATATCTGCCTCTTTTAAAGATAAGCTACTAGCCAATGAACAGAAGGAAACCTTCTCAATATTATCGCCACCGACATACCTATCTCCAATGGCAATGGATACAAACGAGGAAGAAGATTGAAAAGTCTTATGAGAATCCTGAGGAGGAAATTAAAGTTCCCATAAGTGGGGAAGATAAGTTACGTATTTACTACCCATGGAGATTCTCAGTAATAATAAAACTACTAGGTAACAAAATCCTATACCAAGTTCTCAAACGTAAACTTATAGATCTCTGGAAACCAACTGAAGCTTTTCCCCTAATAGATCTTGGTGAACAATACTTCATAGTTAAATTCAATAATGAAGAGAACTTGGAGACTGTATTACAAAAAGGGCCATGGTTTGTTTTTGGCCACTTTCTTTCTCTACAACGATGGAAACCAAATTTTGTTCCCGCTACTGCCAAACAAGTTTTAACTGCAATATGGATCCGGTTACCACATCTTCCAACAGAATTTTACGATGAAGAAATTATGAAAAAAGTAGGTAACACAGTAGGCAGATTACTCAAAGTGGATGCTTGCACATCAGCAGCCTTAAGGGGTCGCTATGCCAGGCTTTGCGTTGAACTTCCTCTAGATAAACCAGTGAAATCCAACGTATGGATAGGCAACCACAAACAGCAGATCCTCTACGAGGGAGAAAATCTCCTATGCAAAAACTGTGGCTGTCTAGGGCATACAGCTAGACAGTGCAATATCAAATCAAATGGTCCAGCAACCTCAGCACCCATGAGCAATGGCGAAAAGGAATAGAGAGGTCAGGAGCAACAACACCTTCTCAAAGAGAAGGAAGAATGGAAGACAGTTACTTTCAATCAAAGAAAGAAGATCCCTTCTGCTTCCAACAGAGGCACTGAATCCACTAAAGCTGCAGGTATCAATGTAAATATCTTTGATGCCAACACAGGTAAGTTCCTCACTTCCCCAGTTTTTAATTACAAATCATGCTCTTATCACAACAAACCTACTGAAAATGCTACTGGAAAATCTATGTCAAAAGAATCCCACTCAATCTGTAGTAACAATATCCAAACAAATAAAAACAACCAATACCTCCCTTATTAATGACACGTCATTAAGACACGTGTCAATTCCTAACTCTAATGCTCCTACTAATAATTATAATATATGTAATAACCCGGTCACCCCCCTAAATCAACCAATAAATCCTAATAATCTAACCTTGCATGCCACTAATGATCTTACACACCTGTCTGAAAAACAGACAACACTCCTCCAAATGGCCAATACCTTCAAACACGTAAACCAAGCCCAATCCTCTTCCTCACTCGATAAAACCAGTACGCTACTCCTCCCAAACGCCATGCAAATCGAACATACAATCATTGGCAAAGATACTCTGCATCCAAAAGGATCTGATACAGTCCTAACACAGCATATAAGCCTTAACACTCCAATAGAATATGCCAAGAATTCCTTTTCCCACCAGAAGGCGCTATCGCCTCATACAGATCCTATGCCAACAAAGGCCCCTGACTATGGAAAATGAACCTCCCACCAACAATCCAACAACAAACACTCTCATCATATTCATCCAACCTCCACTGTCAGAGAACCACCAACCTCTGTCATGGGTGGAACTGGTCTAATGGGCTATGCCATATCCTTCAACATAATGTTGTAACGGCAGGGAGACAATAATAGTGATTCAAAACTCCCACTATTTAGCTCAGCTAATCTCGGAAGGGATCCGGATGGCAATGAACAACTTCATGAACCATGTATGGGTGAACAACATTCTTCACCCAATAGCCCCAAATATATCACCCAACATAGCTCAAACGATGATGAAACAGTGGAGTCTTCCTCCACACTTTGTCCCAGTCCAAAATGCAAACCCACTGATAGATCTTCCATTCTTCACTCCGGAGGTGATGACCAACATCAATCCAGTTTTCACACCCTGGGATGTACATGCAAACCATGGTCAAACTCCAAATGCTCAGCATGCACCCCAGTTCCACCAGCCAGGACCATCTCACTCACAAACTCACCCAAACATACCACAAAACACTCCTCACACAGAAACAATGGGGGAAGCTGTGGAACCCAACTCAATCCCAGAACCAATACTCGAGGATTCAAATCTCGACGAGGTAAAGGTGTTCATCTTCATGGAGATGCAAGAGCAGAGGCAGATTCTCAAGTGTGCAACGGCTCTCTACAAGTGTACAATGGACATAAGGCCACCGGCAGATCCGACCATAGGGCAACATGCAATGATCTTGGTTCCTTTCCAGAGAAGGAATCTAATTCATGCACCAAGAGTGCTGGAGAATGGAGACCTTCACAACTGGAACATCATGTTGAATAGACCTATCAACTTCATCATATGGAACATTAGAGGTGGAAACAACGATAACTTTAGGTTAAACTTCAGAGAGTTGGTCAATACTCACCATCCCTGCATGGTAACTCTTTTAGAAACAAGAATGGACAGTCATATGTCGCTTCTTAACCCCTTTGGGTTTTCTGACATGATTGAAATTCCAGCTCAAGGTCAATCGAGTGGTATGGTTATCTTATGGAATCACAATCTAGTTAATGTTCACAGTTTCGTGCGTAGAAATCAAGAAATCAGTGCAACAATTGAGGTAATCCCCACCCACAAATCTTGGTTATTTACTTCTTTCTATGCCAGTACTAATATTAATTATAGAAATCTATTATGGGATAATCTCATCAACATGCATAATTCTTTTAAGGGACCTTGGTTAGTAGGGGGAATTTTAATGATGTAATAAGCTCTAATGAAAAATTTGGTGGAAATTTTATCAATAGAAACCGGGCTAATTATCTTTGGAATTGCATCAATAAATGCGGCCTCTTAGACCTAGGTTATAAGGGGTGCAAGTATACCTGGACCAACCGTAGGAAAAAAAACAGTCTAATCATGGAAAGACTAGACAAAATTTTTGCTAATAGCGATTGGATTAATTGGTTCCCTAATGCTACTGTATCCCACCTCCCCAAAGTTCACTCGGATCATAATCCTCTCTTACTTGAAATAATTTCTAAATCTAATTTGGCCCTTCAAAAGCCTTTTAGACTTGAAACGTTTTGGTGCAGGCACCCTGATTCAACAATTTAGTCACCAATTCATGGATAGGTATTAATTATCAACAAGCATCCAACTCCTTTATAAATAATGTCAAGGATTGGAAAAACAAAGTATTTGGAGACATATTTAGGAAGAAAAAAAGAATTTTGGCTAGACTTAATGGAATTCAAAATTCCAAACACTTCCCTCACAGAATCTTCCTCCGAAATCTCGAAAGAGAATATAACAACTACCTGAAAACAGAAGATGACAATTGGAAATTGAGAGCTAGAATTTCTTGGATTCAAGATGGAGATGGCAACACTAAGTTTTTTCATATCATGGCCACTAACAAAAGAAGGAGGAATAAAATTAATCACTTCAAAAATGAGGCAAGTGACTGGATAAATGAACCAACAGAAATCCTTAATCACACCTACGAATATTTTCTCAATGCTTTCACCAGCCCTCACCAACACACTAACTGGCTTGACATTACCAACAACCCGACTAGCTTTAGCAAAGTGAACTTAGTCTCACTTGACAACCCTCTAAAGCCCTATGAGATAATCAAAGCCATATTCTCGTTCAAACCTTTCAAGGCCCCTGGGCCAGATGGAATTCACCCATTTTTTATCAAAAATATTGGAAAACAGTGGGTCCTTCAGTTATACAACTTTGTCTTCAGGTTTTTCGTACTAACACTCTTCCAGTGGACACTAACAATACGTACATCTGCCTAATTCCAAAATTCGATAGTGCTAATAATGTAAAAAAAATCGGCCTATTTGTCTCTGCAATACGATCTACAAAATTGTTACCAAAATAATTGCTAATAGATTGAAGCCCTTCCTAAATGATATGATCAGCCCCTTTCAATCAAGCTTCATCAAAGGAAGAAGAACCAATGACAATGCTATAATTGTCCAAGAAATCATGAACCAGTTCAAAAAGAGCAAAGGTAAGAAGTGTAGCATGATGCTTAAGCTTGATTTAGAAAAAGCCTTTGATCGTCTTGTATGGTCATTCATCTATCGTATGCTCACATGCTTCAATTTTCCACCCTCTATATCCAAATTAATTATTCATTGTATAACTACTAGCAACATTGCAATTCTAGTTAATAGATCAACTACCCCCTTTTTTAGCCCAAGTAGGGGCATTAGACAAGGATGCCCCCTATCCCCTTATATATTCATCCTATGCATGGAAATGTTTTCATGCCTAATTTCTCATCAAGTAGATATCCACAGCTGGGATCCCATCCATCTCGGCCCTAATGATCCGGGTATCTCTCACTTATTCTTTGCGGATGACCTTACCCTTATGGGCAAGGTAAACAAGAAAACGTGAAGCACAATTAAAAGGAGCATCTCCATCTTCTGTTCCTTGTCAGGGCAAAACATCAACATGCACAAATCTAATATAATCTTCTCAAATAATTGCCCCACCACTAACACTAAAGAAGTTGCTAAAGATTTCAATATAAGTGTTAGCAACACCTTTGGCAAATACCTAGAATTCCCAATGCTTCAAAATCATCCAAATCCTAGGGATTACCAATTTATTATTGACAATATGCAAAGGAAATTATCTTCGTGGAAAATCAATTTTCTAAACATAGCAGGTCGTACCACTCTAGCAACTTCAACTCTCAATGCTATCCCTAGTCATGCAATGCAATACACCCATCTCCCCACCAAAACTCTAAACTAAATTGACCATATTCAACGTAACTTCATCTGGGGTTCTACGAATGAGAAAAGTCCATTATGTCAACTGGAATACCGTTACTAAAAGCAAAGAAGAGGGAGGGCTTGGTATAAAAGATGCTAATACAAAGAATCTAATAGCCCTAAGTAACCTAGCCTGGAGAATTATATCCAATCCCACTGCCTTATGGTGCAAAGTTATCATTCTAAAATATGCTAGGAAGAAAACACCAACCTATACCTCTTTCATCTGGAAAAATATCCTAAAAGGGTGGTCAATCCGCTCTAAAGGCACTTGGCAACCTTGCAAGAATTCTAATCAAAACCTCTGGCTATCCAATTGGATACCAAATCTCCAACCTCTAAGGGAACGCATCGAGGGTCCTCTCAATAAGCATGAATTATCCACTAAAATAAAGGATATCTTTTCTAATGGCCAAAATGACTCCTCTAAATTATCATTTCATCTGACTGCCAATATTATGGAAAAAATTCATCAAATTCCTATACCTCTCAATGATTATAAAGACACTCCGATATGGAACATGAATCCTAATGGCTACTTCACCAGCAAATCCTGTCTCCAAATTATTAAACCAACAAAAAAGCCCCAACATGACTTCATGTGGATATGGAAGCTAAACTGTCCTAACAAAATCAAATACCTTATTTGGCAATCTCTTCACAACAGTCTACCATGCAGGAAATATCTTCAGCATATTGTAATAAATATAGACAATGAATGTCCGATGTGCCATAATGAAGCGGAATCTATAGAGCACATCTTCATCAAATGTCCCCTAGTGCATCACTTATGGAATGAGGTTGGCATCACTACACCTACTCCAACATCTAACCAACACTGGCTCATCCACATTAAAAATCAGTTCCCTAGAATTAAATCACCACACCTGGAATGGCCAGAACTCCTTCCCTTCCTAATCTGGGGATTTGGATCAATCACAACTACAACAACCTTA